GAATACAAGGCCCATCTCCTCGACGTCATTCCGAGCAATGGCGTCACGAATTCTCGCAATGGAAACCACGTGACAAGCGATCGAAGTGTGAGGGGTCGCGACCGTACATGGGACTAACACTCCGTTCCGATCACGGATGTGAACGGTTCGGTCATGAAAGTTCACCGGATGATCGACGCTACGCAACCACGACATGCCTAGAATCATGTCGAACTTGGTGTCGAGGATGTCAAAAGACACCGGCTCGCACCCAAGTGGCGCAAAGTATACCGGAACGCCGTTGACGCATCGGTCAATTGACTTTTGCGTGCGGCCGTCCGCGAGTGTGACTTGCGTGGGTTGCGTCTTCCTTCGAACGCGCGGGCCAAGGCCTGCGCGTCGGTTTCGGCGTACCTTCGGGTGGCATACTCGCGGTCAATCTTCGCAAGATAGGAGCGGAGATCGACAACCACTACTCCGTCGTCCGTCAACGGAGCTGGTACTGTAGTGTGCAAATAGGAGTGTAAATCTGCCATCAAGGCGTTGCAATGCGGCCTTGGCAAGGTTCCGATCGAGGGTAGAGGCATCCAAGCGAAGTCCTCTCTCGTGAGCGGGTCAAGCTCCTTAAGTCTTGACCACGCCGTCGAGTCCTCGGAAATCAGTGTCGAACTGACCGGATCACTTGCTGACGGTGTACAGGCTGCGCATACGCTAGCTAAATGCACGTGGCTTGGCTGGTCTAATGGTGGTACCAATTGGGCGGCATAATCCTCGTACGTAGCACGAGAATCAGGGACTAACGCATGCTCCCCGGTAGTGACATCGATTGCTAGCAAGGCAACCGGTTCCGGCGGAGTGAGGAGAGACGTCGCCCCTCTCCTTGCGTAACTCAGTTTCCCGAGTTTGCTGGACGGAGTACGTGTGCCTTGCCCTTTTCGGGGCATTGTGCAGTCAAGTGTGTGACTCCATTGCACCAAAGGCAATATCTATACTTTTGACGAAGTTCATAGCACGAGAATCAGTGACTAACGCATGCTCCCTGGTAGTGACATCGATTGCTAGCAAGGCAACCGGTTCCGGCGGAGTGAGGAGAGACGTCGCCCCTCTCCTTGCGTAACTCAGTTTCCTGAGTTAAACTGAGTTTGCTGGACGGAGTACGCGTGCCTTGCCCTTTTCGGGGCATTGTGCAGTCAAGTGTGTGACTCCATTGCACCAAAGGCAATATCTATACTTTTGACGAAGTTCATAGACTTCCTTGGTGATGTTGTAGGCCGTCCATGGCTGCTGCCCAGTTCCCGTTGATGCCGTCTCTTGTGTCGCCTTGGGTTTCCGGACCCTCT